AAGTCCTCCTATGCTCTTAGGTTTGTTCATCTCTTCTTCCAAAGTCCAAGGCATCATCGAGAGAGAGATTTCTTAGTAAAACAGTCTTGGGTACTCTCTCGTTGAAAGTATAGTAGATTCTACTTGGCACCATAAGCTGGCGCATCTTAGATGTTTCTCAGAACAACCGTGCGCGCCGAGAGAATCTGGCCAAAACATTTAGCTGCCGTCAGCCCGTCATTGAGTCGGCGTGTTTGCCGCTTCCAGAGGTACGAAGAAAGACACTTGCAAGAGCGAGACGTCTGCTCATGAACATGCAAAGTATGATGGCCGAGGTGAGAAATATTAACGAGAATCAATGTAGAGTTGCCGCGGACATCTCACATGCGCCTCCCCTCAAAATGAATAGCTCAAGTTGCACTATTTCATTGTTTTGCAGGCATGTACACTCAACTCTATAGCCAGCGAAAGAGTATCCATTTGACAATGGAACTCAGAACATAAAACAGCAATCATGAACTTCATCCCAGCTCTTCAACACACCGGAGATGTGTAACCGCAGGTATAGGCAGTGCTACTGCATGAGCTGGTGTCGAACTCTATATAAGTACCATCATGAACAGAAGCCGTTTGAAAAGAATACTGATAGGCTAGGCCCTTGTCCAAATTTTGAATGCCGATGCTAGCGCTAGCACCCTTGTATGGGACTTGATAGTAGGCAATGCTGACCACGCCAGGAAGATTTTCATAGAACGTTGTTGCAGAATGATAGTTTCACCCGACGCAGCGGGAGTAGCAACGACATACTCGAAAGTGACTTGGCGACCAGTTGTTCGAGAAGAGTGGGAGAACTGGTAGTATAAACCATATGAACTACCGAGATCTATAAGGTCTTGTTTCGGCGTCAAAATAGATACTCTTGACATCGCGTCTGGCGGTACACGTATTGGATAGATGCCGATTGATGGGCTGCTGATGGAGATGAAACCGTTGATGCTGACATAAACGACCGAGCTACAAGAGCCGTTTACACCTATTGAAAACGGCAGGGTTACAGTTGCGTATCCGTCGTCGTGGTCGTTCTCAGAGAGCCGGGTAGGGTTGGAAAGTCTAACTGCCTGAGGCCCTGTTGAGCTGCACTGAGCTGAAGCTTGAGCTGGGTTGCATTGAACCGTGGCAGGGCATGCGCTGACGGTGGGGTGGGCTGATGATGAACTGCTAGAAGAGCTTCTAACAGAGCTTCTAGAACAGCTACTAGAAGAGATATTAGATGAGCTACTAGAAGAACCGCTGGAGGAGCTGCTGGAAGATGTAGTGGAGGTGGTTGTGACTGTGGGAGAGAATGAAGGGCTGTTACGAGCCAGATGAAGACGTCTCTGTGGTCGAACTGCTCGATGAAACTACTGATGACGTGAAACAACTGCGTTTTGACATAGGTGAAGTAGAAGAAGTAGCTGTCGTCTGGGAGGAGGATAATACTGAAGATGACGTAGATGTGAATGTTGAAGAAGATGATGTCAATGGGATGACAGACGATGTTGTTGGCGTCGTGGACCGAGTCATTGAAGGTAGCGCTGATATGGGAATAGACGAGGACAATATCGAGGCTGAGGTCGCAGACTCTGCAGAAGATATCGTTGATGAGAGAATAGATGATGACAATGATGACATCGTTGGTGGCGCTGTAGAAGATAATGGCAGAGTTGATGTAGATGTAATTGGGACAGAGAATTGAGAAGAGGATGAAACTAAGCTTGGAAATACTGGTGCGGAAGTCGGTGTCTGAAACATGGCTGAGTTGAAGATTGATGAGAAAGGTCCTTGGCTTGAAATAGGGGCCAGAATGCTTGAAGAGCGACTGCTCGGAACTGGTGTCAGGGGAGTAGTCTGGGCCGATGTTCTAGCAAGTGAGGAGTCCTGTAAGGTGGTGTTGGGGAAGAATAGAGACAGCGTACGGAATGTCGTCGAGCTGATCTGAGCCTCACTTGCTAGAGTCGAGCTGGCCGTTGGCAACCGGTCACTTGTGGGAACTTGCTGGGAGCTCAGCTGAAACTCGAGGTTGCCACCGATATCTGGCTGATCTGGGTATTTAAGTCGGTGATGGGTGGCCTTGTTGTTTGAATTGCTTCCGTACTGACTGGTACCGGAGTTGACTGGCTACCAGAAAGGTTCTGATCGGCTGTTCGGAAATATTACAAACATAAGGTAGGTACTTATCTAGGGAGTAATTTCAACTAGTTCACAGAATGAGATAACTTGTCTCCATAAGTAACGATATTGACCGCTACGCAACTTGAGGGGCCAGATGTGAAAATAATATACACCTGGCCACTGATGGCGTTCTGATAGAAGCTTGCTTCCCCATTAGGTAGCGCCGGATTTTGGAAGACGAGCAGGCCATTGGCAGTCGCGAAACCTCTCGTGGCCGCTCCAGCTGGGGGATTGCTTGTGCTTCGGAGCTGTCTGAAGGAATATCCAACATCGTAGTACAGTGGAATACCCCTTGTAAAGAGCTCTTGTGCGTCATTTAAGATGAAGACGCTGGCTTGGTCGCAAGTTGGCGGATTCTCATCCAATCCAGTACTGATGAAGCCGCCGAGATCTCGTTTGCGTATGCGCTTCGTTCTCTCGGGTGGAGCTGGAGCAATGAGGAATATCAATCGATTACCAGGTATTACTGATGTTGTAGAAACGGGTGGCGACGTCGTGATGGCAAAAGAGCCAGATAATTCGGAGATCGCAACCGTCATAGAGGCCACATAGGACGTGACTTCAGCAGCCGTCGACGATGTCAGGAGCTGGCTGGTATGGACTTGGTTGGCACGGACTCGGTTGGTATCGAAGATCCTGGGATACGTGGGTTTGTAGATAGCGCGGGCGATGTGTCTTCTGACCCGGCGGACGTTGCAAAGATCCCGGAACCTGTGGACGCGGCAATTGACGCCGATACGGTCATTGAAGAAGACTCTAATGGCGACTGAGCTGGACCGGGAGGGGCAGTGCAAATGGCTTATGTGAAGTCTCGGGCCGATGAAAAACATCGCTGCCCCTTTGGCAAAGAGACATTTGCATATCTGTCTCGATCGATTTGCGTTTGGGCATGTTAGGAGAAGGAAGGGCTGAAATCCGGACAGGGAGACAGGAAAGTATGTACGCTGAAATTAGAGAAACGAGTTTTTTTGCCATTCCCGTTGCACTAGCACTCTTATGCAATATGTAAACAACAACGTGTCTCTCATCTGTGAGACATTGCGAAACAGGTGAGTTCCCGGGTAGTCTGGGTGCCGGATCTCACCCGTCGTGAAGATTGTATATCATTGGGGAAGCGCCACAAATCTATGCTTTAGCTTGCCCCCTGCCCATCACAACTGCGCTCACCAAGGGGTCCATCTTCGAAAGGCATATACCGCGTTGCTTCGCCACCATTGCACGTCAGCCTAGAGGCATACATACGCTGCTGGCACATCGGATTTACGCCCAGGTTATAAGCACAACCGCCAACTTTTTCTCCGCCATTATAAGTACAATACGAAGCACACATCATGCAAGGACATCGTTGGATACCCGCAGCCGCCATCACTTCCGCCGCCGCCGTTTTTGCGGCACCGGAGAACATCACGCTGACATGGCGAACTGCCATAATCACACAATGATTCGCCTTCACGTTCGAGACCCCCTCGTTTTGCAACGGCCATTGTGTCAGACCTTTCGTACAAAAGCCAGCAGCCCAGAATGAGCCGATCACGGTGCAAATACAAGCTCCTAGCTGCAACTCTTGTGGATGCGACGCCTGCGCTCATACCATAGCGTATACGACGACCTACGATTCATTTTGCTCCACCGGCCTCTCGCGTCAAGTATATGCGGTGACAGAGACGTACAGCGGGGTTGAGGCGAAGCCTACCGTAGTTTCGTTGTCAGTGCCACTCGGCTTCACGGCCGAAGTACAGACCTGCACGACGTGCGGCGACAAGCCGGTCACGGCCACAATTACTTACCCGGTGCCAAACGCTGCATATATCACGGGCATATCGGGGCCATTCCCTGCGCCACCCGGGGCAAAGAGCTACGAAATCAACATGAGCGGTTCACTTGGGGCTTCCCCCTCGCAAGATGGCGATGACGCTGGGGCTGGCTTTGCTTCTACTGCGGCACCCGTTGCAGCACCTACTCTGGATTCCGCAGCTGGGTCAAATCTCACTCCAGGTCCGGGTCCGGACCCAAGGCCAGCATCGGGCGAGGCGAATGGATCAGGACAAAACTCTTTACTGGCTGGAGCGGAGTGGAGTGGGGTGTCCTACGGCGACTCTGTTGTCGCGCCGAGCCTTTCAGTTGGACAGTACGGCAATCCGGCCGTCTCACCGACCTACAGTCTCCCTGGATTGGGTCACACTCAAAGCTCAAGCTCAGATTTCGAAGCGACGCCCTCATTTCGTGAGTATTCTTTACAAGACCACAGCATCAACGATTATTGTTCTGACCAAACTACAGCTGTAGCATCGATCAGCATCGTTGTGGTGACACAGGGCTCGACAGGCTGTCCGCCTTTTTATTCCCGGCTGGGGCTTGCCGTAGGGTCATTCATCATTTTTCTTACGAACATCCTGTGAGACATAGATATTGAAAGGGTTTACCCCTTCGGTTCTGTATATAACCGTGATAGCTACTTTTCAACGTTATCTTGAGAGAAGTAGGAGGGCTCTATACACCACATACATAATAGAAGATAGATGCGTAAACTTTCGATTGAGAGTAAACCGAGAGCAAAGTGAGAAGCCTGACATACAATCAGAAACACCAGAAGATGGATCTGTTTGAACACACAAAGAACGGACAGAGATATTTCACATATCAAATGGAATACCGGAGAGAAGACCACGATCATGAACCAGAAAGGCCAAGAATATTACGGAGAAAACATAAAGAACGCAATTTTACCTGAGTAGCACAGTCTTCGAAAGCTCCTGTTTATACACCCATGATGATCCATTTGGTCGAAGAATCTTGCCTTCACCACAAGTTTACATAGTCTCCAAATAGTCTCTTGCCGACTGAACAAACGAAGTGTCCTGCTTCATCCCCAACGATATGGCTAGGCTGTTATCGAAATGATCGGCCCAGGAATACAGCAAAGATCTTAGCTCAGGATCGTTCTTCTCTTCAACCAGTAACAGCTTATCCTTGCCACCAACCTCCTCCAAGGCGTCCAACATGTCCTGTACCGTTACGCCGAAACCTGGCATATTTACGGCTCTCCGGTGTGGGGGCAGAGCGTCTTTCGGTAAGGTCAAAGCCCCCATCAGATTGTGGACCAGTGTCTTTGGAGAAGACATCCAATGACGCCAAGCTCGATCTTTCAAAGGGATGGTGCACTTCTGGCCATTGAGTGGCTCCCGAATCACCCCCGAAAGAAAGCTTGACACTGCTGCACTGGGAGGGCCCGATCGGACGGAGATGGTAGGAAACCGGAGGGCAAAGCCATTGATCATGTTCCTACGGGTGTAGTCATTGATGAGGGTTTCGCATATAACCTTCTGACAACCGTAGGACATTTCCGGACTCGGTATGTCGTCTTCTGTGACATTCTGCGCGGGGACCGGCCTGCCGTACACGGCTTCACTCGATGCGTAGAGAACGCGAACGCCGGGACATCTCTTGGCGAGTAGACTCAAGACCGAGCGTGTTGCATCAACATTGACGCGATAACCCAGGTCGAAGTTTGCCTCTGCGCCGGAACTCATGATGCCATGGAGGAGTATGGCTGCATCGAGACTCTCCGGTATCACCTTTGTCGCCTCATCGACCAGATCAGCTTTGATGAGCTTCACGTGGGATTTTGAGCCGGGTACGGGCGGCTCGATAACATCGGTTAAGATGAGCTCATTGCTTTCGTCTTCTAACAATTTGCTGGCGACAATCTGACCGATGAACCCGGCGGCGCCAGTGATGAGTACGCGCATTTTGGTAAAACCTTTAGCAAAAACGTCAAGCTTCAGCAAAATCTTTACAAGTTTTGCTCATTCATAGATTTCTATCACGATCATTTCGAATGTTTTTAATTGCTTCCATCCTAAGATTCGCGCCAGACGTCTGTCCCAAATCCCGCTCGGATCTAGATCTGGGTGCCGCCACGGTCTGATGATCCGCCGCTGGCAGCAGCCGCGAAGATGAGATGTCCCAACCGGGGGATTAATACCCCGGTGGCGCCAGCGACGCCTGGATTATTCGCTCGAAGGCTACGATGCCGTCAAAATTGCTGTAATTCTCGACCCAAATCAAAGGCATTTATACGAGAAGTGGCGTATTAGAGCAATTGATTGAATCTGATAGAACACTTTACATCAATATCGACTTTCGATCTCACAACGGCTCTCACAACATTCCATCCACGTTTGCAGACTTATTTCCATCATGGTGACCACGGCCGCGAATCCCGCCTCTGTCAAGGTAGACAGCCCTTTCAAGTGAGTAGTGGCTTCTGAGGCTTTATGTGCTTTTACATCACGAGGCATGACTGACATTAATCAAGAATCGAAAACCCAGGCGGCGACTGGCGCGACCAACTTGAAGCCAAGGGCTACTGCGTCGTGAAAGGGGCCATTCCACCAGAGAAGGCCCGTTATTATCAACAGAAGGCTTTCGAATGGCTTGAATCCTTCGACGAGTCTCTCGACATTAACGAGCCGTCAACGTGGAAAAACGCCAAGTTTCCCGTCCAGACAGACAAGAACACCTACGAAAACTATAGCGTCGTCCATGAACGCTTCATGTGGGAGGCCCGCCAGGAGCCGGGCGTTCTCGATGCGTTCACCAAGGTCTGGGGAACCGACAAATTGATCGTTTCGTTCGACTCACTCAACATTACTCTTCCAAATCTTAAGGAGGCGCGCGCGCCCTGGCCCCACGTCGATCAAGCACCGCGCAAGCGTGGGCTGCACTGCATCCAGGGAATAATCAACCTGAGCCACGCGGGCCCCGAAGACGGTTCTCTATGTGTCATGGACGGATCTGCTGCGCTTGTGGAGGAGTTCTTCGATAAAGAGACAGACCCGGCAACCTGGGAGTGGAGGGACAATCGCTACTTCGATGACAAAGACATGGAATGGTTCAAGGCACGGGGGGTACGTCCTGTCAAGGTTGAGGCTGAGCCTGGGGACCTTATTCTTTGGGACTCGAGGTGCATTCACTGGGGTGGAGAACCCACAAAGAAGAGTGACGTGGTCCGGACTGTCATCTACGCGGCGTATGCGCCTGCTGAGTTGGCATCAAAAGAGGCCCTCGAGGAGAAGAGCAAGGTTTTCCAAGTGAACGGGGCGACAACCCACTGGCCTCACGACAACATCAAACTCAGAGACATGCAGGCGCGCCTGTCTGATGGTAACGTCGACCCTCGGAACCGCTCGGAACCTTTGGAGAAGCCGATCCTGAGTGATCAACTGCTCAGACTGGCCGGTGCAAAAGCGTACTAGTAATCTGCGAAGGGGATGGAATCGGGACGTACACGTACTGAAACACCGACAACACTCACTATTCTTGACATTCATGTTCAATTAGTTTGTATTTCTCATAGCTTCAACGTTCATTACCGCCACATCATGCACAAACAATTGTTGTGACTGCTCCGGGAGATGATTGCGCCGGATCGCGGGAGGGATTACCAAGGTCTAGTGGGTTACCCCGCGTGTAATGCCACATAACCGGGGGAAGGGCTTGGCTTGCGGGGAAGCATGTTCGTCAGACCGTGGTCTAATTGTGGAGATGAGGTCAGGACGGACTGCGCGTTCTGTTTCCGCCCAAGTTTGCTTCGAGCATTGAAGCACGTCTGCTTTTTGTTTTCTCACTTCCAAAGGTAGCATCACTGATCAATGATACTCCGAGATGCCTGCCCAATCAGCGAACGAGGGTGATTCTGATAACGAGGAGGGCACCTACCGCCCTCGCAAGAGGCAGGCCGTGATATCTAAAGCGTATGTATTGCAAATTACTTCACTGGCTCTTTAAAAAGACTGGCTCAATTGGATTCACAGATGTGAGCACTGCAAGGTCAAGAAAGCTCGATGTGACAGCTCTCGCCCTCAGTGTGGCATGTGCCAACGGAAAGGTATATCATACTCTGATGTACTTTGAAAGGTTACTTTGTATCAATCATAACTGACTCGGAAGTTATTACGCAGGTGTGGTATGCGAGTACAAGGAGAAGGGCCAGCCCGGTTTACGTCCAGGCTATGGCAAGGCAGTTGAGCAACGCCTCAGCTTGTTGGAGGACAACATGCAAAGCATGTCTCGTACGGTACAGGAGATCCTCAGTTGCGTTCAGAGTTACCAGAAAAATCCCATACAGACCCAGCCGCAGGAGGCTCAGCTCTCAGCATTGGGTACATCGCCCGATCCCGCGCCGACGACCAGTGATCGCGAGCAGCAACAAACAAGCCCTTCAGATAGAGAGCCACTCTGGCAACCGGTCTCTGTCTCTTTGCCAACTACTGGATCAACTGCAACGGCGACAGATCTTCATATGTTTGCCGCATCGCCGCTGATGGAAAGGATTGACTCCCGTCCTTCCCTTGAGTCGTGGGATGCAACAAACACTCCACAAATGCCGACAGTCACAACCGCCGATTCATCACTGCCACCTGAACCAATAATTCGCGAGCTTGTCGATCTTTTCTTTGAGCACGTATATCCCTGGGCGCCACTGCTCCATAAGCCAAGCTTTCTCTCTAAAGCATTCTCCCCGGAACAACAAGTTGTCCTCCACGGCATCGTTGTAGTCGCGTACAGATTCTGGAGAAAGGCAGTGCCTCCCGCCGAAGTTCGCGAAGCATATATAAAAACATCGAGAGAACAAATTCTTTTGCGATCAATCGACGTTGCATCACTCGCATCAACGCAAGCCCTTGCTCTTCTCGCCATTGATGCTATCGGGCAAGGCCCTGGACCAAGGACATGGAATATCATGGCCATGCTCGTGACATCGACGCGCCAGCTTCGCCTCGCCAGCACCAGTAATACAGCACTGGACCCACGCTCATCCTCCCTAGTCGACAATGATGCCCCAGACAAAGGCCAAGGCGGTGACGATATGTCCATCAGCGGCAGCAGTACTGACATTCACTCGAATATCGAGGAAGAGCAGAAGCATCGTCTGTTCTGGACTATTTATACCCTCGATCGCTTCTCTAGTGTGCCTCTTGGCCAACCAGGCTCTATCGACAGCAGGTTGATCAAGCTACCATACCCGGTCCGTGACGGTGAATGGGAACAGAATGTAGTGCCTGAGTGGTTTCAAAGACCATCTCCTGCGAGACCTTATCTTGACCATCGGAAGCCTGTCAATCTTTGGCATTATTACATCGACGTCCTGACAATGGTCGACCAGTCAAACCAGCTGCTGATCCAGCCGGTAAACCTTGCCCTACCAGCTAGCTGTGAGGAGTGGCAAAGCAGCTTCTGTCGATTCGACATTTCGCTGTTCACTTGGTTCGAAAATCTACCATGGGAGGTTCGCGAACCCCCCACAACTTTTGACCCAGTCTGGACTTTGGTCCATGCTACTTTCTACCTGTATGTGTGTGGTGTTATCGCGGTCTCATCCAACCAAGTTCCATGGGTCTTGTAGGGACTGACTCAAATGTAGAATCAACATTCGCATGTATACAGTTGCAGCGTTCCCCTCGACGGCCTCACCTTACCTGAAGCCCTCAACCTCGGCCCGAAGCCGCTGTCGGCAGGCGGTTCGCAGCGTTGCTAACCTCGCATCTTCTCTGGCGTCTCACCAGATCCAACAGCTAGGACCCACGTTTCCCTTCGTGGTGTGGGTTGCCGCGCGAAGCCTGGTTATGCTCTGGACAATGGGGTTTGAAACCGCGCGCGGAGCTGTGCCCGACGACTTGGAGGCTCTCCTGCATACTTTGAGACAATCAGCGATACACTGGCCATGCAGTCAACGCTATTCAGATATGGTTCAGTTGATTGTTGATACGAAGAACAGTCCTTCTGGACCAGTCGGTCTGGAAATATTCATTGACACCCGTCGAACAGCCTATGGACTTCAGAACAGGCTGGGAGCTCTGGTTGACTGTCAGGCTATGGCCTTGTTCGCTGGTTCTGACGACTTTCTTAATGTCGGATTTTCGGACTTGCTCAACTTTTCTGGGCCTCAGGTTGGGCTTAGAGGAGTTGGCAGAGAGTTTGACGCAGACTGGTTGTATTAGTAAAATATGACCGAGACAAGAAATGTTCTCTTGTGGCAATATAGGATGTTTATCTGATCCAGTTTTTTAGTCTTTCACAGCATCTTTGAATTATTGAGTCTATACTCTAACTTAAAGAAATCTAGACTCAATTATCGAGAAGGAGCACTTTTAAGCTTTGCCTGCTCTGGAACCAATGTAACCAGCCTTCCCGTCAGAATACCCGACCGCACATTTGAGATAGTGCACTCCTCCATCTTTGTTTTGGTCTGCGATCAAAAGTCAGTGTGATTTGTGTTCATTTGTCGTCGATATGCATTCAGAGTGCCGTACCTCTACAGTCGATGTGCCCATATGCGGTAGCATGCAGACATGCGGGTTTGATAGAAGACCGGGGTGGATGTCAGGCTCGCTTTGGTAGACATCGAGCCCTACTGAGAGAACTTTGCCAGAATCCAAGGCTTTGACCAGGGCATCTTCATCCAGAACGCCGCCTCGGGCCGTATTGACAATGACGATGCCATCCTTCATTTTTTCGAATTCTCCGGTTGAGATGATGTTTCGGGTATTGACCTGTGATTGTCAGGGTTGCTCATACTTATGCAGAGAACAACAGCGGCTATGGTTGAACTCACATTCAGTGGTAGATTAAGACTCAATACGTCGCTCTTTGCAAGTAGCTCGTCAAAGCTGACGTACTCGGCGCCGTCAGACAGAACAGAACGTGATCTGTTATGATAGATAACCTTCATCCCAAACATTTCCATCTTTTTCTTCAGATTGATGCCAGTGCCGCCGAGACCCAGAACACCAAGAGTTTTGCCTTGGGGATCATGGCCAAGAGGCCCTGGAGGTACGTGGCCCGTCCAAGTCCTATTACGTATGGACATAATGCCGTTGTTGAAGCCTCTTAGCGCAGCCAGGATCAGAAATACAGCGGTGTCGGCCGTAGCATCGTCCACAACCTCGGGGCAGTTTGAGACAAGAATATTTCTTGCAGTGCAAGCTACCACGTCAATATTATCATACCCAGCCCCTAAAGATTAAGTTCTAGTCAGAGTTACTGCGCAGTGGTTGTTGGATTATCTTACTTGCCATTGTGACAGATGTACTTAACGCTTTTGGGGAGTCCCTGCACTAGCTCCTCGTCGAACTTTCCGGTGACTGCCAGACTGTAAGGTGCACGATCACATATGGCAACAACTCCATCCAGTTTTCCACTTCGAAGCTCAATGAGAAACTCTTTTCTGCTAGTTGATTGAGTCTTCACAAGTTGTGCATGCTCGGAGAGTGAATCCCAGGATGCAGTTGCGCTGGAAAGATCAGTTCCGTTTCAGGTTGGCGGCTAAAGTGAGTTGACTTGGAAATGTTCGGTTACTTACTGGTCAATTTTGCCAAGAAGCAGTACCTTTGCATGCGCAGCCATGTTCATACCCATGGATCCCAAGTGGCTCGACCTGAAAAGGAAAGTAAGGCCTGAGGGAGTGGTACACAACAGTCAAGTCTGGTAATGGGCCGGCGAGACTTGAGGCGGACTGTACCTTTCTATGCCTTCTTGACCGATAGAAGCACTTGTACCGCGCGGGGTAAGCTGGAGTATCCTTGTCTTCATTCGGCGGGCTAAGCGGAGACCCGCCGGCTCGTTATTGCGCCGTCAAGTGTTGGTACAATCAAACCCCGCGCACAGGCAACTTTTCCGAGAATATGGGAATATGGTTGACGAGCATCTTGCGACCTTTGTGCCACACCTTCCAGGAGTCATACTCCAGTTCAGCAGGGCTGCTTGGGATGGAAGACACTGAGGGTATTATGTGCGAGGGTCATCGTGAAAATGGTGTTTCATAGGTTTTGCGACAACTGAGTGTTCTATGTCTACTTAATGTCTTTTATTTAAGTCCTATGCTTTACCCGTAGACATTAAGAAGTCCATGTGGTACTCCACCACATCCTGCATTGCCTTCGTCTGCTCCTCGATGACCGTCGTCAAGGGGACTTTGCCAGTCAGCTCGCCCTGCACCTTGGTCCATGCTGCAGCCACAGGACCATTCACGTTGACCTTTGCCATGCCGTACGAGATGCATTTACGCAACAGCTCCTCTTGGAAATACTTCTCGTGGGCGCCGTGGAGCACGAGGCGCACACGGTCCCCCACAGTCTGCCGGACAGTATCGAGGCGAGGGAAGTCCAGCTGCGGTCCCTTGGGCCCGTAAACCCCATGAACATTTCCAAAGGCAGGTGCCAGCCAGTCAATACCGCAAGCAACGAACTCCTCCGCTTGTTCAGGACCTGTGAGAATCTCTTCCATATCGCCCGTGTCAGCGATGCCGTCTTCACAGCCATTAATACGGCCAGGTTCCGCTTCGGTAATTATGCCGCGTTCATTACAGTACTGGACCAATTCCTTGGTGAGCCGCAGATTCTCTTCTTTTTCGTAGTGGCTCATGTCGACCATAATGCCGTCGAAGCCGCCCAGATCAGCGGCCCGCCTGATGATGTCCGGAGACTGGGCATGATCCATGTGAACACCGATAGGAACGGAAGCATTGTCAGCCGCTTCGGCTGCCGCATGCAGAAGAAGACCGTCTGCGTACTCAATAGACCAAGGGAAGAGCTGAATAAGGGCTGGCGATCGCTTTGCTTCTGCCGCGCGAACAGTAGCAACGATAGCCTCGAGGTTGTAGCAGCATACGGCCGCAATAGCATAGCCACCCGCTGATGCCGCATCAACGATGGCCTTGGCGCGGTTGTTTTCCAGCTTATGGGCAAACCCATTGGTCTCGCTATCGATACCATTGCTGTTGACTCCATTGATTGCCATGGCTGCGGTGTGGTGATTTCAGAGATGAAGCAACGAAGTAGGGCAACATAGAAGAATGGTCGAAGGCAGCAAGTCTCAAAGCTGATCGACATATGGCGCATGCAAGTTAATCCCAGCCTTCATTCTTGTAGGATGACATTGGACGTGTTGCTGGACTCATTCAATATGCGAGGGATCATTGCTCCGGTCACTGACGATCCGGTGCAATTACACGCCTCCAAAGGCGGGGAATCTCTAAGCACCATGCATGTTCTCCGGCTTGATGATGTCCCGCCAAATGACGCGCCCGGGAATTCAGTTCCGTCATCGTGGAAAAGCCGCCCCACTATACAACTGAGACGGCCTGCATGTTAATGCAGCTTTTTCGGGCGTTATGTTCTCGTGTCATCTACTGCTTTGCGGCAGACTCTTTTTCAGTATCGAGGTCAGGTCTGATCGCAATCGCTATCACCATGAAGGACCACTACACAATCCTCGTCGCGATGTTCGCGTGCCTGGGCACCTTTCTCTATGTGAGTTCTTAGCCTCCGTCGCAGAACGCATTCATCACGTAACCACGCGGTTGGAAAGCAAACGACTGATGAGTTATACTTGGGCTTCAGGGATTTGACACCGGCATCGCGACGACCAGTAAGATTTCCCCTCCAAGAAAATCGCGCCGACTGAGAATCGAGAGTAGTAATTGGACTGACATGTTGATAGCCATCGCTCACTTGAGCTTCGTCGAATACATGGATAACCCTTCGAACGCCATTATAGGATCTGTAAGATTCCTCGATGCCTACCCGTCAACCTTTCTAACTGTACAGGTGGTGGCAACTTATATCGCAGGTGAAGCGGTTGGTGCTATCATGCAGATCCTCATCGCAGACAAACTCGGCCGTCTCCGTTTCATGCAACTGCAATGCATCATTGTAAGTCTTGGATGTGCCATACAGACTGGTGCAGTCAATGTCGGGATGTTCCTCGGAGGTCGCATAATAGCAGGCATCGCTGTCGGGGCCCTCAGCGGCACCGTTCCCGTCTACCTCTCCGAGATAAGCCCACCTAAGATCCGTGGCCTCATTGGGGGTCTCAATGGCGTTGGGCTTGCTTTCGGCACTATGACTTCAAATTGGGTTGGTTTTGCCGGTGGTTTTGCCCCGTATGGCCAGGCTCAGTGGCGCGTGCCGCTTGGCCTCCAGATCCCATGGGGTATTGTCCTCTTTACAGGTCTCGTCACGTTCATGCCGAACTCCCCGCGTCAGCTGATACAACGAGGCCGTGTCGAAGAAGCGAGACATGAGTTCACAAGAATCCGAAGCGACCTACAATCACATGTTGTGCAAGAAGAATTTGGACTCATGAAAGCCCAGATCAAGTTCGAGATGCAGAGGGAAATCCCAACATTCAAAGAAATCTGGAAAACGTATCGACGTCGCATTTTAGTGTAAGTTGAATAGGCCAAGACCTTGTACCTACACAGAAAGAGCTGATCTTAGACCCTTGATCCAGTTCGGTCTCAGTCCAGATACTGACAAGCGTCACGGGAGTCAACGTTGTCCAGGTACGTGAAAGCCAACGAAATTTCTTGTCGTCTTCATTCACACACTAACAACGATTCGAATAGTATTATCAAAGTTAGTGGATCAAGACCGTGGAATACTCAGTATGTTGCTAATACGCTCAGCGTCTCTGTATCGCTCGCTCGGCATCGATGCGAAGACGATACTCGCCCTCGCCGCCGTTTGGGGTACCTGCGCATTTCTCGCGACTACAGTATCTGTTCTCATCCTGCCGGATAGATGGGGTCGCCGCAAGTAAGTAAAGTGTAAACTGGATCTTGATTACCGTGTCATTGATCATTAGACTGTTGAAAACAAACGGGCTTGAAAGCTAACCTCTCACTTCGCACATCAGGATGCTTCTTGCTGGAGTCGCTTGGGTCATCGTCATTGAAATCTACTGTTCTGTCATGCAACGCTCGTTTCAGAACACAGACAATCGCATCGGCAAAGGCTTTGCCATTTTGGGCATCTATCTATTTGCTGTGGGATACTGTGAGTTGACACATTCATGCAAATCTGGGTTTTTGTCGTTGCTAATATGAAAACCACAGACAGCCTCATCATTCCTGTCACTTGGATCTATGGTGCCGAAGTCCTCCCCATTTCCATCAGAAGCAAGATCATGGGCGTCGCCGCTGCAGCACATTACATTGTTAACGTTGGGGTTACTCAAGCCGGCCCCAGCGCATTCGCCACAATCCATGAGAACTACTACTACGTTTTTGTCGGTTGCTGCAGCGTATTCTTCGTTGTCATCTATCTATACTACCCCGAAACCAAGCAGAAAACGTTGGAAGAAATTGCAGCCGCGTTTGGTGATCGTGTGGTTGAGATTGAAGACCATCAGGCAGCGAACATGATGACTGGCACAGAAGTCAAAGGCGACGTCTCACTGGAGCACTTGGAAATGGACGCAAAACATAGCTACAAAGTTTAGTGCGCATGTTTTTCGGTAGAGACTGTGATTAGAAACTTGAGAAAATGTCAGCCTATGGGGCTCGTCTTGCCCATCCTGCCCCTACAGTCCAACGTTCTTGTGCAGCAAATCCTTGCGCAATTCTCCAAGGTGGCTGAGGTCCTTAGCCCATGCTTCGCCGCAGGCCGGCGGCCCGACAGTCTGCCTGCACTTCCCGATGAAAGGCAACAGCCAGTCACAGTAGCAAGTGCAACACTCGCTGTTCAAAGAGCAGCTGGTGCCCTTTGCCAGACACTGTTCGACTTTCTGAGTCTGGTTAGTTTCGATACTCAAGAGTGCTTTTTGTTGGGGATTAAAACGTTACCGGCTCTCCGTTGGCTCCAAGAAGACGCTCCAAAGGGCTCATCTCCTTCTGGCTCGATTCGGTAGGAATGGCCGTAGCCATGCTCAAAGATGCGAGGCTCTGCAGAAATGTGGTGAACTTCATGATGGTTTATATGATAACCTTTTCTGTAGCGCAAGAAGGGGTTTGTTGTGTTGTTTTCATTCAAAATCAACCAAATTGAGCAGATAAGAGACGTTCTTATATGCAAATCAACACCTGCTCCGCTCAGACCCAATGCTGACGGCATACTTTGACCTGACTACCCAGAGAGTCTCTAGTGATGATGATGTGGTACTCAAAACCCTTGTGGCTAGCTGAGCTCTCCCAAACAAGCCACTTAGCCGTCCCGGCGAGTTTTATGGCTTAGAAGCAGCTCGCCACTGTTGCGATCATCGAGCTTCCATAGCTCATGTGCTCGATTCAACTGCTCCTTGGCTAACAAGCCGAGCCCCCTTTTTGAGACGTAGTCGCAGAGAAGTAAGCCCTAGCGGCTATTTTGCTCCCTTCTCAATCAGAATCGCGGTTTCAATTGGTTCACGATCTTTGGTCGGCGTCTGAGCTGAGCTAAGACACAGCCTCAAGGTCCGCCGCAGGATTTGCAGAAGAAAAGCTCGAGGAAGGTGACAGTTGAAAGTAATTATGCAAAGACGCCGGGAAGAGTTGCACCCGTCAAAAGGTTTGGAGGTTCGACTAAGGGCATGGATCATGGCTCCAATGATATTGATAGATGAATGTAGCTGGGCTCATTCAAACCTCAGTAATTCTGGCTAGTGCATAAGGTAAAAATTATATTTTCCGGGAAATTAAATGAAAACTCGCAAAATTGAATTCGTTATGTAGCTGCTGATTTTTTGGTCTTGCGACAGCCCTCGCAACAGATGAAAGTTAGCCCAGAGTTGCAAGTTTTTCATTTCTCGCATCAAATTGGTCTTTTTCTTTCGGCTCTTGACGTCATCCTGTTCTCCCTTTGGAATGTGATCGGGTGCGAAAATGTTACCTGAGGCGGCTGAAGAAAAACGCGGTCGCTTTGGACTAATAGACCGCCTCTTGAGTGAGGCTCGTAACTGACTCCCACAATCCGCAATTGCTGCCCCTGGAAACTTTGGCTCATCGCATACCGACAATCTCTCTGGCTCCGCGGGAACCAGCCCAAAATGCGGAGCCAAAATAGATGAACCTACCAATCACAAATTGCCGATCCTTGTTTCCAAGAGTCAAAATCCATATATAGATCATTAAGCTTGGTGCAGACTTGCCAAATGTTCCCCACTGCCCCTCGTATTTGGCTTCAGTCCCACAATAACAACCAGCATATTTGAGCAGTGACCTCACACCCGACAATAATAAAATAGGGCGATTCCCCATGCGCGAAGAAATCCAACTTCACCGACAACTCCTCAACTCCCCCAACACCCATCACGACACCCAAAATGCAGTTCACATCTGTCCTTCTGGCCCTGGCCGCTACCGCCAGCGCGACCCCCATCATGGGCAACATCAAGATGTTCTACGATGCCAACGCCGACTGCAATGGCGTGCCCCTCCAGACTGAGGGTGGCCAGTCTCTTGCCATTCCCCCCGACTACATCAACCAGTGCCAACTTATCCCCATTGGCGTCGCCAACACCACCTACAAGAGATTCTCCGCCAGCGGATTGACACCCATCTTCAACTGTGAGCAGACCCCTTTCCCTTGGTTGCCGGAATGGCCGTGCAGTTGACTGACTCGCGTTCGCTACAGTCGAGCTCTACACCGACAGGGAGTGCCAGCAGCTCGCCACTAACGCCTCGAATGTCTGCGTTTCTGACATCAAGTCATACATTCCTCGTCGCAATGACGGCAACTAATTTGCGATGGTCGGGTACAAACTTGTGGAATTATTGCAGCGAATGAAAAAGGTTGTGGTGGCGATTACAGGAGAATGGGACAATGAGATAGATGCATGGCAATTGGCAAAAACGACTCGATTTGCATTAGACGGCTAAGCCCCATAACGAATAGACAAAATGTACAAAACACTACTACATGGGACAACACGTGCTGTAAATGACTTTTCTGGATTTCAGAACAGGAATGGCATTTCGGAGTTAATCCAGTTCATGCTCATTCAAGCGGGCCTCGGGGCATGTAGTAGGCCATCTGAAAAGGAGGGCAAAGACATCATAACTATTGACATCAGGGCTGACAGGTCAATAATGTAGTAACTCCGCAAAGAGAATCATTTCGGAACCCCTCGCCTGTCCTCTTCGTGTGAGATTTGACGAGACGACACATCATAATCTCCTCCAAACCTCGGAATGGGGTGAATGATTGCAAGGCACCGGGAACACGAACTAGACGCAAAGCTTCTGCGTGATCATTGGTCAATCGAAGGTTTTTCGTCATAGTGTCATGGCGTCAAGCTGGCAGATGTGTAAGCTGTGCATCGAGACGATCGGACCTTGTATCAATGGACTGGAGAGAAACCAGGTTTATGAAAATACCTAAGAGTGCCTGCCTCCAGTGTACTTCAATATCTTGAGGGGAGCTAAAATTGCAGTGAACATGGCGTGGAGTCACGGACGGAAACACGGGCGCCGGCCATGGTGTGCATGTTAGGTAAGCTTGGAAACTCCATGGTCTGACATGACAACTTTAATCAGTAATTATCGGCAAGACATCGCTGGATCCCAGCCGAACATCCCAACCATTGGCCACTGAGATCTTTGCGAAGAACGGCCATAATCCTGAGCGACAAGTAACGCATTATCAAGCTGTTGGACTAGGAAGACTTTCACTGGATCACTATCTTGATAGGTTTCGTTGGCTGTGGGTTAACGTAACCGAAACTGATTTGCCCGCTGCCTATGAAATCAGGCGATTCAAAGCTGTCGAGACAACAGCGCAGCCACAAAACCAGACCAATTAAGTCGATTGAGCAGGTGCGCCGATTGCCTAGCGTGGAGGCACTCACTATGCCTGCGTTGCGTTGTTGTATCTCAATAGCTTATGGAGCTGGTTGCTTCACTAACATGTCTCGGCAAGACCGTAAGGGTAGCGTCGGCCGCTGACGCTCGTATGTTTGACGAACCGCCTTCCGTTCTCCTCAGAACATTTAATCTTTCGGGGGTCTTTCTTAGGGAATAGAGGAGAGGGTGTTGCAGCGAAGCTGCGTCTAGTTGGCTTCTTCCATGCCGTAACAAACCGTAAGTTGCGGTTAGGTACACGTGGTAGGTCAAAACCAGCTGGCAAACAGTACTTTACGACTCCGTTAATATGAGGTGATAGCTTTTCATCGCTTAACTATGAGATGTTTACCGTGAATGTCGTTCAATGCCTTGAGGGAGGTTAAGATTGCAGTGAAAAGTATTGCGCCAGGCAACGTGGCGTAGCTTCTAGTGTAGTTGGAGCGGCATTGACACGATCCAATGAAATTGTTGTTAGTAGACGACAACACCGTCCAAGGCATTGAAGGTGGCGACATGCACCATATCTAACCAACTAGCAATGTCAGACCCGAGACCACCGACGTGCAATATAATCAACTTCAAGAAGGCAGCGAAAACTACTTAACACAAATACCGAAATCCCTTGACAATTGGCTGCATCGAACGGTGCTGTACAGATACGGCCCAATCAGCAGTTCCAGCTAGTCATATTTCTGCTTACGCTACACTATTCCATTCCTGTTCATTCACTACTTAGCCAAATGTAAATAGTAGTGGGGCTTCGGGCGAACAAGACCCTTACTTGGACCTCTGCGCGGTCCGAGGCTCCTACACATCACTGTGCTTGCTGTTTTATCTAAGGGGGTGATGCGGAATAACGATCAGTAATACGACGTCTCTTCTGCTTGGATGTGATGTTGGGAAGAATTTCACATGACGTCTGACTTGGAGACGATGAGGTCTGAAGCAGACGGACAAGGCGCAAGACAGGAGTGCTTTGTAACAGTGGTTGCCCATACGGGGTTCATTATTAGGGGGTATCTAACTATCATCTGCTCGTGTCTTTTGCGATCCATTCAAGTTGCCAAAGCCTGTTCGCCATCAAAATCTGCTGCCACTTGCACCATCCTCAGTTCCCTGGCCATTGCGAACCGCGATGTGTCCCCGCGTGCCACTACCAGGTAAGCCCTCTCGGTTGCTCGAACCTCCGTACTCGCTTGCATTGCTCCAAGTCATCGGCTCGCGAGGAGAAGACTCTGCACTCTCTCCCGCCGAGAAGCTGTAAGTCTTGCCGTTGTATCCGGGCGGCTGCGGCCACATCTTTGGGATGGGGAAGAGACCGCTGCTCTGAGTCCGGCGCTTTTCAGCTGGCTGGATAACAATGCGAACATTACCCTCGCGGGAGCTTTCGCCACTCGTGTTGCTAGGCAGAGGCCCGCTTGGGTCGCGTTGGTTCATGATAGGTGGCGATGCGTCGATGATAGCGGCTGCTGTAGCGGCTGAGGTCATTTGGTAGTCGTCTTCGCTAATGTTAACGTGCTGGCGACGCTTGGAGCGCTTGCGAACGAACCAGATGGCTAGCGCGACGAGTATGATGCCGAAGATGCTGCCTACAGCAATCCCGGCGATTTGGCCATCATCTAGTGCAGGCCTGAGCGATGATCCGGAGTCTGGAACAACAGTCGACGATGTCGTGATGCTAGCAGATGTTTGCGTCGAGGTCGAGGTCGGGGTCGGGGTCGGGGCTACGGTTGGCCATGTGAACCCGTCGGGATCATCCGTGAACCAAGTTGTGATGCCACTGGTCGGGCTAGCCGAGCTCGAGATACTGCTGCTGATTGTGAAAACAGAAGTGCCTGTCTCGTCCAGCGGCAAAGTTGGGGAGAGCGAAGTTTGGACTGGCGTGGAGATAGTCATGCGAACGGAGGCTGTTGTCGGGATGGTCGGCTCTGGGATAATCGTAGACATCTCTTGGTTGCTTGCAGTCGAGGATGGAGTTGGAGCGCCCGCTGTGACGAACAAGGTGGTAGTTGAAGTTGGAGTTGCCGTCACAGACACTATGATGGGGTTCACGACCGTTGCCGTCAAGACGAAGCTGCCCGTCCTAGTCAGGGTTACCGTCGTTTCGATGGTGACAATCGAGATCATGCCAACGACAGTCACCGGCGCATCTAAGACTTGGCGTCGAGCGCCACGGCGTGCGGTAACAAGTGTCGTCGGGGCTGGTGGAGGGGTCGAGTCTTGTAGAGAGGAGAGTGATGTCGAATCCGGTCGCGGAGCCTTGTCACGAGGAAGACCAGTGTTTGCCGACGAGATCGAATCGTCATGGTGACTGGCTACTGGTGAAGCAAATCCTCGTTTCGCCAAGTCGCTCGGGGCTTGCGCGATCGCGACGGTGCTGGTCTCGGTGACGAAGATAGGGTCGACAACGGTCACAGTCTCGACAAGTGTGGAGACAACGACCTGCGTCTCGCTTGGTACCTCGATGAAGGATGTTCTCGTGAGTGTGGCGGTAGAGAGCGACAGCGGCGGCTGGCTCGAGGGTCTGCGAAAAACGGTTAGCGACTCGAATTTGGCCGCGATAGGGAGGGGGGCTTCTTACGTCGAATTCTGCCTGGCCCAGAGATGCATTATTTCTTTGCCATCGTGCCGAGAGCGCGATCCGTCCGACTCCAAGCTCTTTGCTGCCACTTTCTCGCCAGTCTGGAGGTGATGCGCGATCTCGGTACTCGCCTGTCGCGACGCCCGCGATGTCTCCGCATCAACCAGGAGGGAAGAAGTCGATGTTCCGAGAGCAGGAGCGCCATCGCGAACCTGAGAAGCGACGACTGCGGCAAAAGCCAAGAAAAAGGCAAGCAAGATCCGAATTTCCAGCATGGTTGCTGATGTTGTTGCAAGTTGCTAGATCCTTCCCATTTTTGGTGTTGTGAAAGTTCGAAAGGAAGGTGAAATGAATTAGAAAAGAAAGTACGCCGTTTGCCCTTGCAAAAGGCAGGAAAGAACGACAATGGAACAAACGGTGGAAGCAAGCTTCCTTGGACGGGAGGACTGAGTGAAAGGATCGAGCAGCTGAAGAGCGGGTGGGAAAGGGAAGGCGCATTGACATACACGATGCTTCGAATGGAATCGCCACCACTTGGTGCAACACGGAAGTGATGGTTTGAGGCAGGAAGCAGAATTTGGCCGGTCTCCTGCGGCTGATTGAGGCAATACATCTCGTCCAGCCGTCAATAGCTTCAGGTCAAGACAAGATCCGGCATGGCTTGCATGGGGTCTGTGTCGGAGAATTAAGTCTCAAGTCAACCGTCTGAGGTGCGCGGGAGAGCCTCCTCGTCATCCCGGGATGGCATGGGGCCGGCGACAGGCGTCCCGATTGCAAGGTGTTCATCTCAACACAGAAGTATAACAGAGTGAAGTTGCATTGATATATCTGCCGATCTAAGAACGCGCATCAGTTACGGAACTTGTTACGGACCCATCGAACCTTGGCCAAATCGCCCCAGCATTACGAGCCCGGTACGGCACGGGACGGGACGAATGAGCCCCGCGTCAGATCGGCCGCACCTCATCACCACAGCCGGGGAGGACGAAGACGGACGAAGAAGACAAGGAAGACGACGACGAAGACGATGACGACGGCAAAGGACCAAGAGGACGAGAACGAGAAGAACTGCAACGACGGAAGTTGGTTGCGCTTTGGTGATCCCTTGCCGCGACGAGAGACACTCAGGAGGCGGAAGGAAGGAAGAAATGACGCACAGACCCTCTTACCGGGATCCATCCCGGGCAGCACACCCCTGCTCATGTATTACATAAGGTTCTTATCCGCATGTCGGCCGAGACTGATCTCTGATCCCTGCCATCCATCAATCTTGCCAACCACCGACGAAACCTTAGCCACGGGCGTTGTTCGGCCGAATCACAACTACATCACGACACATCACGTTTGAAGGTTTCTTAAAGAAAGTGGCTTGTCATTACGTTGATAATTACGCTGGGTCATCTGGCCGTCTTGGCCTACGAGGAGGGACCTTCTTGTCCTTCTCCCGGGGTATCTCTGTCGTCAATCTTCCACCATCCTTTTCGCATTTGGTGCTTCCGCTGTTTCTGTCAACAGTGTATGTGTCGCCACTGAAGTTTGAAATTGGGCTCATCCGGTTCGGGCTCAAGGGCGCCTTCTCCGCCATGAAGCCTTCTCCTCCAACACCGGGACCGAGACTCAACCTCATCTCCTTCAACACGACCCCATCACCCCTCCCAGACCTAGGAGTGTCAGGCACCTCAAATCTGTCGTCTTGTGAGTATATCGAAGAGCTTCTCTTCGCCTCCCACGTCGCCTCCAACATAGGCCTACCGTCTCCAGTGAGAGGCCGGCCCCGACTCCTCGGCACCACCCCTAATACCGCAGTCCTCAGACTCAGCGTCGTCGGCGCCATGTGTGATATCGACAACACGGGTACAGGTGGTGCCGGCATCCGCAGCTTGTTCAAGTGACTGGCATAACTCGCGTTCCGGCTCCGCGCAAACGGCGTGCTGGGCTCCGTCCATGGATAGCCGTGGTACGTTAAGCTCGTCAGGTCAAAGCTCTCGTTCTCGGTGGCTTCCAGCGACCTTCTCTTCGCCGCGCTCATCAGGCCCGGGAAGACCTTGGCCAGCAGCGGACGCAGTGTCGGAGCGCTGGCGCAGATGAGCGCCAGGTCGCACTCCAGGATCGTCATAACGAAGAACGTGAGCGTGTTGGTCACACCCGTGCTGTTGGGCAGGTAGTGCCTATGCAGGCTGAGCTGAAGACGGACCATGCTCGCTGCAATGACGAATATGCTCAAGCTCAGCACCACCGAGAGCGCAATCTTGTCCCTGCGGGGAAGGTCGAGTCTGGCGACGCAGGGAATGACCATGGCGATCAGCCACGCATCAGTGGCGGAATGAAGACTTGCGCTCGAGATCAACAGCTCTGGAAAGCCGAAGCACATCATGGGCCGCCCGAAGAACTGTCCCATCACCGGATGGCATTGTAGGAAGCTCATCAGCAGCATCGGTACGCTGTACATGAGCACAAACACAACTGTTCCCCATGCAAACAGCCGCTCTCGCGGGCGGGAGACAAAGACCCGGAGATAAAACGCCAGGATGGAGAATTTCGTCAGGCAGAGACAGAGTTGGTAGTAGATCAACCCGAGGTATGTGCGCATAATGTACGGGTTGACATCTTCCAGTAGGGATGCCTCGGATGGGGCCGCCAACAGCGAGGGCGTCGTGGCGGTGATGCCGTAGACGATGCAGAGAGCCGTCGAAAATAGCCACGAGAGGAAGATGAGCGTGTCGTCCAGAAACCATTTGCGAATCACCCATAGCCGCGAGGCAATACGAGCAAAGATGAAGAGAGTGCATACGACGTGCGGGAGGAGGATCCCAGTCATGAAAACCGGGATATTGGCATCGTCCTTTTAGAGGTCAGATACGCACAAACAGAATAAGGCAAGAGCCTTACGATTTCCTTCAGCACCGACGCTGGGACTCTTGGGTCTGGCGATTTCGGGTATGTGAGGTTCATGCCAATGCCCTCGGCGGAAGCCATCTTGCCGTGTTGGCTCTGCGATCGCAGAGATTGGGGAGATCGGGCGTCTTGTTCGTCTGTTCTGTCGCGCCACCTGAAGAGAACTCACGTCCTCGAACCCATGGAGAATGTGTCAATGGTCATACAACATGAAGCCTGCGCAAATCCCAAATCCGGAAGAGCAGCTCATCGGTTTACATACGAAATCCCATCCCCCCAAAAAGGCAACTCCAATCATGCAAGCCACCCACACCACGCCATCCCGGCACCCGAGAGACCCCTACCCCTCCATCCCATCAGATCTCGCTCCCACGGCCACGTCTACCGCCTGCCGAACTCAACCCAGTCCGCTCCAAGCAACGGGCGCACAAGCTCCTTGCCAGGCAAGAGCGGTACCACCTGCTCGCTGCAGGCTAAACCCCCGCGATCGCGATTGGACGGGCGATGGTTTCGTCACTGATGGGACGGGACCGTCGGCGCGGCGAGCGTCGACTACTCAACTTGCACGGACGAGGGAGGATGGACTGAACTTGTGGCATTCAGCCCATCTTTTGGCACCGCTCGAGCTTCACGTTCTTGAAGCCCTGCCGTCCGTCTGTCTCTCTGAGCAAACGAGACGACGAGCTGAAACGCCTGGGAAGGAAACGATCAACCCGTCCGCCTCGCCTCACTTCCATCGAGCTTTTTGGTAAAGCCGTGGGAGCAATAATGAAACGCGCCTCACCTGTCAAAAAATCTTTACTTCCTTTCCCCATACTGTTCTTCGGCGGAAGAAAAGAAACGGGAACCCTGCCATCTCCAACAATGACAGCCAACAACTCGACCAGTCGCAGAACCGTTCTTGGATGCGGGGTGCGGCACGCCACACACATCCGCTCCGTCGCCTCCCCTCCACCCCCACCAACCTGCCCTTCCATTGCGGATCTACTGCGCCAAACGACTCACATGCCCCCAGCTGCAGCGGAATGCCGTCCGGGAGTTGCCCGATCCGGCAGGACAAGTCTGCATCCCGGCGCCGATTGGTGGGCCATTTCTTTCTCGCAGAATGCGCGCGATATCATTGCCGACGTCTATTCGTTGTTGCGGGGCGTCTTCTGAATTGTCGATTCGCGATTGCATTTTGGCTTGGTTGAAGGACGCGGCAGACTGGGTGGCGGTCGCTCGCATCTGGCTGGTTGGGCTTCCTTTTACCCTTTCGCCATGAACAATGCGCCAATGCACTCGTAGGTTGGCCAGCTCAGCAAAGAACGGGGAGGAGGGGGCTAGGAACCAGCACCCCCACCACAGCGCAACTGTTCGTGGTTGGCAAGATCTGGAATTTTGCGAAAAAGGTTTCGGCCCGCCGTTCCCTTGTCTTTCCTCGCCGTACATTTGTGCGTGGCTCGATTACCTTCAGCAGCTCGCGCCAGCGGCCGATGGCGCCCCGGAAGGCGAGATTGGCCTCCCAATGATGGACGCGCGGAGTGCTGCTGAACGGCACTGCATTGGACGAAGCTTCTTCTGCTGCCCCTGGGATACAGGGGATCCTCGAAGTGTCTGGGATGAGCTGTTGATATTGGGTTCCCGGCGTTGGGCGGAGGAAGGCCCGTGGGCTGTGGTTGACGTGCGGTGCCATCTGGTGTGGTGGGATGGAAATCGTCTGTGCGACCACGCCGTCGTGTCTGTGGGGAAGGCATGATGTGATTCCTGAAGTATAGATACGATGGATGATGAAATGCTGGATTTGTGTTTTCTATGCGAAGGTTGCCAAGGGCTCGGGCGGCGCTGGCTAGGTCTCTCGTTTCTGGAGAATTGGGATCGTGATTGCGTTCGCGTGATAGGGGAGCTGAGCGGCATCCTGGCTGGAGGCAACAGATTGCGCCTCATCTTGGCATGAAGTCTGCGCGGCATGTCCTGAGGACAGGTGTTCTTGGCCTTGTGGCTTGGCCCTGAGGTAAAGCTATGCCTCGGGAAAAAACACCAACACGTGCCATAGTGTCCTGAGAATATCGGCAGGCGTCTTCAAGACTTCGCTTTCGCTTTATGTATGGCCGACCTTCAAGCTTGAAAGCCGAACTGAGGTAAAAACATTTCCAAATGAAACCTGAGAATCACGTCTCCAAAGTGGCCCCCAAACCCTTTTCAAACGCCACACGAACCTCCAATCTAGGAATAACATAGTTCAGACGGCAAGGCGATACCGAGGACCCTGAGCCGTCAACCAGTCTTCGTCTCTGCGTTGCTGTCTGCCCCTCCGGCTTGAGACTTTTCCGGGAGAAATCCGCGTCTTGGAGGCGCTGTCGGATACCTCAATCCAATGGGCGGGACGATGATTGGGCAGGCGAGGGTGTCCCATATTCGCAGACTCTCGCAACACCGCACTGCCGCATGGCTCACCTTCGGCATCATCAATTTAGAGACCGCCATTCTTTTCCTGTGTCCTTTTCCCTGGAGAGCCAGAAGGAGCTTCGCCTCACAGGCAGCCTGAGATTGTGTCATGATGGAAATACAATGACAAAGTAGTGGTGATGAATAACAATCAAGAGGCCGCCTATTTTTCCTGTCCTAGAGTAATTACTTTTTCCTGTGGTTCTGTACTTTACTCTACTTTACTATCGTTATCGCTATTACAACTATCGTCGTTATTTTCGTTGCTGTTACTATCGTCGCTGCTATTATCGTCGTCGTTGGTGTTGTTATGATTGTCGTTATCGTCATCGTCGTCCGTTGTCCGTCATACGAGTGTGTAACTACCTAAGTACATACCCAGGAACTATAGCCGCCCAGGGGAAGATAGCTGTCTCGGCATGAGGTCAAGATGCGAGTGTAACGCGAAGTTGTATTGTGCAAGTCTACTTAGTTATCAAGGGGTTTGTTCCCTCCTCAAGTGTAAACAGTCGAACGAAAACCTGACAAAGGAAAAATGCAGCGAATGTCTATGCCTCAATGCCTGTTGTCAACCGGAAGCATATTTCAAGCCCGCTGGCCATATTCATTGTGACGCCGTTGTTTCCTTGGTATTCTCTCCGTCCGGACCTGCTACGAGCAATGGTGTTTCGTGTTAAGTGTACTGCCGATCAATTTTGAAGTTGGGGATCTAGATTGTCGTTGAAGCCATCCGAATCGGTTCTGATTTGGGCATCGTTGAAGCTATCCCAGCCGGTCATGACAGGGTATTCAGCTGTCGAAATGGTCGCTGAAGAATGTCCCAATACTCTGTTGGTTGCCAACTGGGCCTCCTGGTCTGCTCTCAATCGGTCGTACTTGGCCTTCGTGCGTTGCATGTAGGAGTCGATGTCCACAGTGATGTCCCCGCCTAGCTTCTCCATCGCCAAACGGCCAAGAAACTTCACCGTTGCATCCGAACGAATCTCCATCGGCAATATTGCCGATGCTTGGGCCACCCGTTGCTCCATAGCTTTCATCTGTGCTTCGGTAAATGTTTGAGGTCGTGATCCCGGCCCAGGGGCTGTGTTCGACGGTTTACCTTCCATGTTGATCGCCCATACTCCGGTGTAGGTCACGTTCGGGAGGCGAAATTTGTATGCGTTTTGTACCAGTTCAACGATGTCAAAAACCCGTCGATCCTCCCGAAACGCTTCGACGACTTCAGCCATTGCCAGCACAATGTCTCTGAGTTCGTCATGAGCCCTCCACAGGTCTGTTATGTGTCCACCATCAGGCACGGCAACGGCGCGAATTGCTATCGCCTAGAGGACCGACTCTTGCACAACTCGTCCTGGTAATTGGTGTAGCACTGCCTTTCGGATTTCTCTGTAAAACGGCGTGTGAGCCAACCGAAACGTACTCTCGGTAACGATGATATTTGCGGTATCAGAGAGGTCTGCGAGCATTTCCCCATTGAATATCCTCAAGATGTCGGTGTAAGACGTGATCTTGTGTGTTAGAGCCTGGATCTTAATCTGAGCTTTAAGGTTGCAGGCTTGGATCATCTCTTTAGCGGTGGGGTTCTCGTTGCCAGGTTCGTTGCCCGGTCCGTTGTTGCCTGTGGACATCTTGTCTGATCGAGATCACAAAAGTCCGGGCGCGAATGCCAATGGGGTTACAGGTTTTCAAGCGTTCAAGAGTCAATGACTTTCAAGAGATGTTTTTCGCGTCGGTTCCCTATAGTATGCATGCGGCGAGAAGAGTTGCAGTCGTTCTCGTTTGTTTGCGCAGAAAGATGATGGTAGCGGAGATGTTGGAGTTGAAAGGCGAGAGGTTGGGGAGAAGCGCTCTTTTTATCCCGATGTTTGTTTTCCCTCTTGGACGCTTCAGGGAAGAGCTACCATTGAAATGGAAAGAAGCGAGTAGTATGACTGAGCTTTGGCAAGCGCGATTCACCGGGGCAGCATTTTCGCTGGAAGCAAGAGCTTCAACTGCGGAAGCCTCATCCCAGCTGCCCATCTTTGATCCTGACCCTGAACAGCCTCTCAGCGTTTCCATGCGCAATCATGGCCAACTCCTGCTCCCCTACCAGCCCGCTCCCTTTCAACTCCTCCATCCACTTGACCCCGTTCTCGCTCTTCTCAAACGGGTAGTCGACGCTGTACAGCACATGCTCAATAGGCGTATTCCGCAACACACAAGCCAGTGGCGCCATGCCCCAGACCCCGCTCGTGGTAAGCCAAATATTGCCCTCCCAGACCTCCTTCCACGCCCTCCTCCTGGGTCCCCATCTGACCGACAACTTGTTAACCCGTTCCATCATGAATGGCAGCATCTCCCCAAAATGCCCAATCACGATTTTCAGCCCGGGGACCTCGTCAAACAGCCCCGCGGCGAAGAGTTTAAGCACAGCAAGGCCCGTCTCCTGATGCCACCCGAACCCGCTCGTCCCCAAGCTCTTCGCCGCCCCAAGCTCGAAGTTGCCGTCGTACGCCTCCTGCTGTACCTGCGACGGCCACGTCGGGTGGAGATAGATCGGCACGTCCAGCTCCGCCGCGACCCTGAAGACCTCCCAGAACTTCTTGGCGTCGTAATGCGTCCCATCGGCGTGTGCATCGACCAGCGCCCCGACGAACCCCAACTCTTTGACGCACCGCCTCAGCTCCGCCGCCGCAGCCGGGGGATCCGCCATCGGCAGCACTGCTAGGCCCACAAAGCGGCGCGGGTGTGCGCGGATGGATTCGGCGAGGGTGTCGTTGGCGAGGACGCTCATCCGTGCGGGACGGGAAGCAAGGCCCGGCGCGTGGGAGACGGCTTGCAGCGCAATTTGGTTCTTGTCCATGTCGGCGAGGCGGAGCGGGCCGACGTCCGTGAGGCGCGCGGCAATGTCGGGGAGGTGTTTGAGCTGTTCTGCATATATGTCGGAGAGCTCGGGGAGAAGGGCGGGGGCGATACAGTGCTCTTCCAGAGCGATGAGTGGGGGGATGTTTGGGGCCATGGCTGTGAGTCAATTGATGTCAAGAAGTTGGCAGTGTTGTGGACGAGGGCTGCTGTTGGGCATTTGGCTAGACAAGTGAAAGAGAGTGTGGTTGTGTTGATGATGTATTAGCTCCCCGCACTTCCCCAACGCCTCGACGCCTCTTTGAGTTTACTTTGCGGTACTACGTCCGAGACATGCATTCAGATCACGGGACTGGGCAGCAAACCGTCCAACCTTTCATCTATAGTCTTGCTATCCGGGCGGATACTTCTAGCTAACTGGGCGGATAACTATTATGTTAGGTCTGACAGTTCTTTTAATATAAAACAAATTTGTTATCCTTGTTGTTCCTGTCGTCGCTATCGTCCCTGTTATCATGGTCCCTGTTACTGTACTCCCTGTCGTCATCGTCGTCCCCGTCGTCCCTGTTGATATCGTCCCTATCGTCCCTATTATCGTCCATGCCTACTTTCCGCCCGGATAGCAAAATTCATCTACGTCTCAGGTTTGATGGGCGCCAAAACAATTGATCGTTCAATTCTCATTCTCCTAACGGCTCTCTCCTTCATGGACTCTACTTCCGCCCCTCGATCTCCTTCGCCTTCTCCCTCGCCTTCAAGTACCCAGGCTCCTTCTTGATCCGGTCAATGTACGCCGCCACGCCCGGATACGCCGCCCGCGCCGACCCGCCCTCCCAGGTGCCCATCGCGTCGAACGCGCCAAGGTGGTCCGCCGTCGTCAGCCCGAAGCTGAGCAGGATGTCCGCGGCGCTGAGCTCCGGGCCGCAGAGGAAGCCGTTGCCGTCGGGCACGCCCGGCGCGGTCTTGAGATAGGACTCGAGCAGGGCGAGGTTCTTCTGCGCGTTGGGGAAAAGCACGAGGGCCATGACCTTGTTGACGACGAGAGAGGTGATGGGGCGGATGAAGAAGGGGACGTTGTCTGATTTGAGGACTGGGTGGTATTAGCGAGACACGCGCAGTGAGAGCATACAAATCAAGGGGCGGTAGAAAGGGCTTACTGCTGAAGAGGAGGTACTGCACCAGCGTCGGGAAGAAGGTTCCCTCGACGTAGTGCAGCAGGTACTGGAACCGCGCGTAGGCCTCCGTCTCGCCGCCGACCTTGCCCTCCTGGCCGTCCTTCCACTTGCGCGGCACCAGCGACGGCTTGTTCTGGCCGAAGTGCTCGACGAGGTACTGCGTGATGTAGCCGCTCTCGGCGAGCTTGATGGGCTCGCCGCCGTTGGGTGGCGTGATTTCAAGCACGGGCGACTTGCCGAGCGGGTGCACCTGCGTGAGTTCCGGCGGCGCGAGCCGGTTGGGCTGGCGGAGGAAGACCTCGGTTGTATAGCTGAGGTTGAGTTCCTCGAGGAGCCAGAGGATGTTTTGCGCGCGGGAGTCGTTTAGCCTGGGTTTGGGGTTAGTGTGGTGGACTTCAATTGAGGAGGTGAAGGCGGGGCGGACCAGTAGAGCTTAATCTTGGGCTGTTCTTCGGTCGCCATTGTGAGTTTTCGTTTGGTGGACGTTGAGGGTGATTGAGATTTGCGTCTTGCGTTGTTGTGGATGAAGGTGAGGTTCCGTTGCGCGATGAAGAGCTTCGGGAGCTGCGATGAGGGGACGCGATGAGCTTGGGGGGTTATTAGCCGAGCGCCACGTGCCGCTAGCATTCCAGCGTTCGCGGCGATGATCATTGTGGGTTTTTGGGGACTTTGGTTGGCTGGAGGGCTTCGGCGGGTTTTTCTGGGCTCGGGGAGAAGATCATGACGTGCGCTGATTTAATAGCAATCGGGTCATCGGCGGAGGGATTCTGACCGCCGGCAGGATCGGGGGACGGGGGTTATGTGGGCCGTGTGCGGAGCGGTTCCGCTGTGTGCCGGGCGGCCGGAATGGGTAGCCTGCGTGGGCTGACTTGGGGAGTGTACGACGGGCTTGGACAATTCGGGCGAGAACTTGCTGCAAGGTACAATTTTGAGTACTTCAAATTTCCCAAGGTGTAAGCGACTGGGGTGGACGAGGATGAGATGTTCATGCAGGTAAGACGGCTTTAAGATTCAGGTCCGGGGATGGAGCATCGCGAGATGGACTTCTGCTTTCCTAAATGGGTCCCGTAAGATGTCCCCGTCGGTCATTCACGGGATATTTTCGTGCCCACAAGCATGGAACGGTTCCTGGCACCATTCTCCTTGACGAGAGTAAGATCGGTAGTCAATTGTCCCGGATCCTCGACAAGTCTCCCACAACAGCCGATGTTCCAGACTCACGAGGGCGGATGATCGGAGACGCCGTACGCAAACTACAACTTCCTCTTCACCAGCCCCTTCCAAAAATCAAAACTATTCTCATCGCTCTGCAAAGCCCACATCCGCCCCGTCTCGCGCCCGTCGCGGTCCACCTCGACCGCCTTCAACAGGCCCCAGTCGCGCGTGATGCCCACGATCCGCGCCCGCGCGCCGGCCTCCTGCTCCAGCGTCACCGTCTGCCCGGAGTGCAGCCAGTGCTTGTAGTACCGCTCCTCGAGGTCGCGCGAGAAGCCCTCGCGGCGGAACTGCGCGTAGATGGCCTCGAAGCGCGGCAGGATGCGCGCGAGCAGCGTCTCGATGTGAAAGCCGCCGGCGAGCGAGGCCGGCGCGATGGCGTTGAGCGACGTCGTCGGGCGCGTGTTGGTCGTGTTGATGCCGATGCCGACGACGCACTGGTACGAACCCTGGAAGTAGCTGCAGGTAGAGAGGATGCCGCCGATCTTGACGTAGGAGGGGTCCGAGGGGGAGGAGGCGGGGTCGCGGCAGTCTGTGGTTGTGGTTAGTCACGACCTTCTCTGAGTAAAGGGATATTTGAGAAGACTTACAGATGTCGTTGGGCCACTTGAGCTTGATTGGGATATCACCGCATCCCACATCGTACGTTTGCACGGCCTCGGCGATGGCGATCGCGGAGATGTACTGCAGGAACACGATCGGGTGAGAGGCGGCCAGGTGAGCGGGGTGGTTGATGACCGTCGAGAAAAGCAGACTTCCGGGCGGCGCGATCCAGACGTTCGTGCCTCGGCCGCGGGCGGCGACTGAAACTGCCGCCGTAAGTGTGAAGCCGGTTGGAAGACAAGACAGGAGCTTATTGTTTCTGCCAAAGTCAGCACGTCTTCACATCACATACAAAGAGAAAACATACTTATCCATGAGCGTGTTCGTGCTCGTCACAACCTCACCATACAACAACGTATCGCCCCACTCCTCCGCCTCCTTCTCCTTCTCGCGGTACCCCTTCAAGCTGTTGTAATAAAGCCGGTGGTTGAAGCTCGGCGTCTCCTTGACGACCGGCCACGCTTCCTCGTGCGGTACGATGACCTTGACCACCTTGTCGTAGTCCATGGCCCCGGACGGCAGCGCCTCCCGCAGATCCTCGACGCTGAACCGCGTGGCCTGCTTCTCGATGCGGAAGACGTCGTGCTCACCGTGGATATACTCCTCCCCGTCCCCGGTCCGCGTGATCGCCTCCTCCCAGGAGGCCAGCGTTTCGGCGACCTCGGTGTGGTTCGCCGAGGTCAGGTGCAGGCGGGAGAGCACCGGGGGAGCGGACGGGTCGGCGCTGACGTCGAGGCCGAGCTTGGTGAGACAGGTGCGGAGGAAGGAGATGCGGGCTGCGTCTGCTGCTGCTA